GTGTGTGTGTGTGTGTGTGTGTGTGTGTGTGTGACTACGTTTGGTCATGGGAGGGAGAAAGAGACTGAGAGGACACCCAGGGAGCAGACGGGTAGATATTCAAATGAAGGGGGAATTAATGAAGACAACATGTCACATATTTTCACCTGCTCTGAGCAGGAACAGGAAATGAAGATCTGCTCATCTTGGAGGCTGCCGCCCATGTTCCGCATGTCACTGTCCTGTCACGGGCCTGTGTAAAAATGGCAGGCAGTGATACATGCACTCTGTGATAACAGCCCATTCCTTCCCATCCATCATTTATACATGTGCGCGCACACACACACACACACACACAAACACTTGTTTATTTATTACTTAGTCAGGTGCTGTGTGTGACTTTTTATTATAACTAAGTGGCGTGTGACGTGACATGCTGGTGGAACTTGCAGTTTTGCTGCAGGTAGATAAAGGGGAGAGAGAGAGATTTCTGAAAGGAAGAACAAGGCTGTTGTGTGATCCTCCAGCATCACCTAGTGCTGTGAATCAGCATAACATCTTACAAAGTCTTTTTATAAAGCTTAAAGGGGTCATATGATGCTATTTTAAATATCATTATTTTGTGTATTTGGTGTAACAGAATATATTACATGCTTTAATGTTCAAAAAACACATTATTTTTCAAATACTGTACATTATTGTAGGTCCTCTATGCCCCGCCTCTCTCAAACACTGGGCGGCGTTATGCAAATTTTCCCAGATCGTGACGTAGGTATGTGGGGGCGTGTTAGAACGAGCCGTTTTAGGTAGGCGTGGTTGACTCTTAACTTTTATAAAGAATATCTCTTTGGATTTGAGACTTTAGTCTTTGCAACTTTACAGATCTTCTTTATGCACCAAGAGCTTGTAACACTCCAAAGAGAAAGGAAAAATTGAAATCGCCTCATATGACCCCTTTAAAAGATGTTTAAAAAAGGATTTTTGTGTTGTTATTTTTTATTACATTTATTTTCCATTTTACAATAATAAAGGTAAACACATTAAATCCATTCAGCCTTTATTTTATTTGTAATTCATTATTTTTTTATATAATTTTATGTACTTTTGTACTTTTATAGAATATAATTCCCAAGTCTCCTATTTTAGCCATTATAATGGCCCCAAGGTTTTTTTTTTCTTTCTTTCTTTTTCTTTTTTTAAGAGATATAACAGGCTATAATTATTATTTAGTGTTGTTCAGAATGTAACTGAAGATAGAAGCAGGGCTCAGTGATTCAGTAAAATTGAGTGAGCATGTGATATCGCTGTGCATAATCAGCATAATTCTTTGTGATATGTCTATGTTTGTGTTTTGTCTCATCCTAAAACTTTTTGAGTGACTTCTTCCTGCACTGTATTTAGACCTAATTCCAGGGCCTCCAGATGTAATAATTTTATTAGGCAAGTCGTAAGCTTAAATAAGTTTTAAGTCATGAGGTTTTGTGTATTGTAGAAAGCAGTTAATTGATTTGTTTGACTTTACCTTCATGATTTAGTGGCTGTGTTTTTGGACACGTACACAAGAGGGCGCCATTCAGCAGCATTTACTAGGCAAAGACAGAAATAAAAGGCTTTGGAGAGGGCAGGAATTCCTAAGTGTAAGAGTTGTTATCGGATGAAATGATGCAATGGTGACTTTAATGCTGCTTTCAGTTTAGAAAAAGAGAAAAAACAATGCATTGCAATGCAATGAAAAAAAAAACATTATCATTGTTAATATTATCAGAATCAGAATCAGAAAGAGCTTTATTGCCAAGTATGTTTGCACATACAAGGAATTTGTTATAGTGTCACAAGCTTCCAGTACACGGAGACAACAACAACACACAGATAATAAATACACAATAAATACATAAATAAATATGAATAAAATGTGAATAAAATACACATGCATAAATGTAAACCACAAAAAAAGAATCAATTGTATGTACAGGTGTGCTATAGATAGATAGAATAGGAATAGAATAAAAAATAAATAAAGTTGTAGGGATGTACTAGGATTTAGGGTGATAAATAAGTATAAGGTTATTGCACATACTTTAATTGCACAATATTATTGTCAACATTGTTTGCTGTTGAATTGCCCAAGCCATCATTCTTTTTGTTTTCTGTTTGTTTTACAGTACAACTATTGTTTCAACACTGAACACAGTGCTGCAGCCTTCACATGGACTCAGTGACTCTAGAAAGTGACGATTCACCATTAACACTGGTATAAGGAATCATATATATATATATATATATATATATGGAGTGAGCCTTCATTTTATGTCATCTAACTGACAATCCAAAGATCAGGGTTTATACACATTGTTGCTTTCTTCTTCCTGGTCTTATTGCGAACAATTTTCTTTTCAGAAAACTTCCCTCTATCCTTGTGCCATATAAAGACTTTCCATGATCAACTCAAATGGATAAATATCAAGTCCTCCCTTGCATATTTTTCTTATTAAATATCTTGTTTCAGGTGAAATGTGTTGTAATCACTGTTTTGTTTTGACTTAAATTTTTACATTAATGTTCTCAGGGAGATGTTCAAGAAGATGTTCGTTAGTTTTCGTTAATTATGTAAAAAAAAAAAAAGGAATTGCCATTAAATGTCATTTTATTTAGTTTAAGAACAAAAAATTAAAGTTTCTTTTTATTTATAAAAAAAAATTAACCCACTGAGACTATATTGTTCTTTATTCTTTTTCTTTTCTATTCTATTTGCTTGTTTTATTTTTATTTGTTATGAACAAATGACCCTCTAACACTAGCATTTTCTATTCTTTTTCTATTCGATCTACTTGTTTTCTTTATTCATTATAAAAAAATAAAAATTAAAAAACCTTGCTGTGTGTACTGCGCTACTAGGACTTGTCACAGATAATACATAATATTGTTCTTTTGTTTGTTTGATTGCTTCTATTGTCCTCATTTGTAAGTCGCTTTGGATAAACACATCTGATAAATGACTAAATGTAAATGTACTTTGCACCAACAACATTTCAAGTGACACATGGGTTAGTTTAGGTTTGTTGCCACAAGGGCTTTAATTCAGTAACTGTATGTGGACGATGCT